CCTGGGAGACTTCTGCCCTAAGGGGACAGCGTAGCCGTAGCCTTGTGATCTCTGCGCCGAGGACGACAGCTGGTGGCTGTGAATAAACCAGTGGTGGGTACTGGCAATGGAGTGGGTATTGCTCCGTGGGACTCGCTCCGTTTCCCTGGGTGCCCTCTCTAAACTCAGCGCGAGCCCCTTGCTGGGTCTCCCTCTGCAAACTCTTCTCATTGGTTTTAGGAGCCCCTTGGTCACCTTGGTGCTCTTCACATCTTCACCAGTGAAGAGGTAAGACTCTTGCCGGTGGCAGGGATTTATTCTCTTTACCTTAGGCCTTCCACAGGACCTAAGCAGAGCAGCCCAGCCTGCCAGCCCTGCTTTTATTTCCAGCTGTGGCCCAGGTGCCACCAGCCGAGGTGACAGTCAGAGGGGTTTGTGTGAGTAGCTCAGGAAGTGTCCCGAGGATTCGCTGGAGCTGGAGCAGGCAAAGGGAAAACACAGAGAAGGGGGATGGCAGCCCTAGCTACGATACGGCGGTGGGGTCGGGGTCTCCCTGCAGGACGTCCCCGCGGGCCGCGTGAGCCCCTGACGCCACGTGGGCTGCCTGCAGGGCGATTGGCACTGGGCCACCGGGCGCTTTAAAGAAGAAAAACTGGCACACACAGTGGGAACAAGTAAAAATAACCTTCCCTCCTCCCCACCTCGTTCCCTGCCACAACATCAAGCGCCTCGCGCTGGGTGTCTCCCTGCCTCCCAAAATAATGCCGGGCGCTGCCACTGCCGTGCTCTGTGATGCTCCCTCCATGCCTCCCGTTTCCATGGCGACTGCAAGGAATGTCACCAGGGTGACAGGGAGGAGAGGGAGTTGGCATTTGGCATTAAAAATGGGAATTTGGAGTTTTTTTTTTCCCATTTTTTTCCTTTCTCCATTTGCTAGTTTGGGGGAAGTCATTCTCCCGAGGGAGCAGCAACTTCTTTCAGAGCTGCTTTCCTTCCCAGGCCCTTCCCTGATCCCAGCTGCTTGGCCAGGAGGAGGAGGAGCAAAGGGCAGTTGTCTCGCCTGCTCAAGCACGTGCCTTCCGCCACCAGCAAGGCTCTTGCCCTGAGGAGCTGCTTGGTGGGGAGCCCCCCTCCATTCCCGCTCGAGGCTGTGCCTTGGGGCACCTCTAGCCCACGTGGGCCCCATGAGCCCCCTCTGGAGGCCTCATCCCAGGCGCTGCCTCCTGCTGCTGGAAATGCTGTGGACAGGGAAGCGATTCGGCACCGCTGGCCGGGCCAGGCCAGGCCGGGTGGCCTCCGGCCCTGCTTGCATCCCACTGGGACTAACGGCACAGATGGAGAGCAGCCTGGTACCCCGGGCACTGGTGGAGGGAGGCTGTGCCCGGCACCTGGGGCAAAAAACGGGACTTCGTGGAGGGGCGGTGGAGGGGTCTTGGCGCATGCTGAGGGGCCAGAGCTGCTTCGGTGGCAGTGCTCACAGCTGGCTGTGCCCAGGGCAGTGCTCCTGGGCTTGCAGCGGACGTGGCTGGGGTCCCAGCAGCGGCTTCGGGCCCCGTGGTGACACCGGACTTCACCTCAGGCAGGACGGGGCTCTCTCGCCTCGCCAGGAGCTCCTGCGTCCACCCTCCATCCCTCCGCCTCCCGCATCCCCACAGCAGCATCGGGAAAGGTTGGCGGAGTGGGGCTATTTTTGGGAGCATCTCCCTGGCAACGGCTGCCACCACCGTCTGTGGTGGCTTTTCCATAGGTGCTAAAATATTCCATGCTGCTTATTAAAGCGGGTGCTGGTGGAGACGGGCGGGGGTGGGGAGTGTGAGCCACCCCACTGCCGGGGCTGGGGGCATGGCCGGCCTGGAGCACGTGCGGGGACGGGGTGGCCAGTGCCGGGTGGCTTCCTCGAGGTGACGTCCCCCAGGTCCTGTGTGGTGGCACCCACCATGCCAAGGCTCATCTGCATTGCCAGAGGCAGAGCCAGTGGGCCTAAGGTTGGAAAGACGAAGGGAAATGTGGGTACTGGGTGTCTTCAAGTGTCCTTCCCAGGTGTACTGGCTGCGGAGAGGTTTTTGGGGTGATCAGGAGCACTAAGGGATAAGAAGAGAAAAAGATCAGCAGTGAAAAGCAAAAGTGAAGGTTGAGCAGCTGCTTGGATGCCCAAGTGCCTCGTGGCTTCCTCTCTTGCCAAGATGGGGCCGGAGCCTCTTGGTGGCACCAGCGGAGAGGGAGCAACTTGCCCAAGGTCACACAAGGGAGCTCTGGCGTCGCCAAGAAAGGAGCCAGGGCTCCCTTTCTTGCTTTTGCTGTTGCCTTCAGCATGAGGCAAGAGCAGGCAGATCTCTCGCTGATAAAAGTCGCTGGGAAGAAAAACAGACCCTGGTGCTCAACACAATCTCATGGCTTGTTCCTCATGTGTCCTCTGGTCCCAGAGCACTTCCAACACTGCCCTGAAATTTCACTCCCAATGGGGTAAGAGAGGGACAGGAGTATTTTCATCCTACAGGAGGAGGAGTGAAATTGACTGCCGAGACACCGGGGGCAGATACAATTTCACATGGGGAGCAGCAGCCCCAACCTTTCAGGGCTGCAGCTGCCCTCCATGTGCGTGGACAGCCCTCACATGTGCACAAGATCCCCTTGATGCCACCCAGAGGCTGTGCCCAGAGGGCCCGGCGGGGAGCAGTGCCCCGCTGCGGCCCCTCTGCTCCCCAGCCCTGCCGTGCTCGGGCACCTTGCGGGCGCCGCTCCGCAGAGCAGCTGCGGGTGGGCTGGGGCGAGCTGGCTGCTTGCAGGATGCTGGCTGCTCTCCCCATTTGCAGCTGCTAATCCGCGCTGAGGGAGGCTATAAATACCCTGTTCTCCTGATGTTACTTTTCCAGGTAGGTGCGGGCTGCGCTCGCTGCAGCGACACTCGGGAGGGCGCGTGGGGGATCGCTGTGGGGGACGGCGCCGCTGCGCTGCTTTGGGTGAGGATGAATCCCACATGCTGGAAGGTCGCAGGATGGTTTGGGGAGGGGAGGAGGGTACAATCCCTGCAGGACAGGATCCAGGTGATAATCTATGATTTTCAATCTTTTTTTTTGATTCATCTAGGTTTTCAACAAGCTGAGGCCCCCCCCCGCCAACAACAGCTTGGCTCTCCACAGGCTGTGGAGACTGAGTTGATGGGCCAGCAGATCCCCCGTGGCTCTCCAGGTTGGATCAATGAGAACTTGATTTCAGTGATGCCAGAATGCAGCTTATGCTGATGTCTTAATGCTGGGAATGGTAGATGAGACACCAAGATGGAAAACACGTCCAGCCACCATTGTTGATCTGGCACGTGGTTGTCCCCAGGAAGGCTGTGCGTATTGCTGGTGTCTGCAATGTCACAACCCCCTTAAAGTATCCATCTTCCCTCCAAAATGAAAGGGACATCTTCAATCCTTGGCACTGGCATAAGGAAGCCCATTACGTCTCCGTCTCCATCTCTCTTTTACCTCAAAGAGATAAAAGCCCTAGAGAGGTTGCAGGGAGTGAAGGAGCCTCAAGGAAGTTTCCAGGGAAAAAAAAATGCAGTGGGGCCAACATGTGTCAACCCTGAAGGCCCTGAATGAGCTCCACAGTCATACCACAGCATCCACAGCCGATGCTGGGTGAAGCAAGTGGCTTGGACGTACGCGGCAGGTCTTGCGCACCTATTGCGACCCAACACGCAGGAGCAGCTGGTGTGGGGAAGACGCCAGGCTGCGTGTCTGGCATGTCGCTGGGGCTATGGCATCTCCGCAACGGGGACCTTGCAGCAGTTCTCCGCTGAGCTGCAACATAAAACACACTGTGAGGGGGCAGGGACCAAGCCCGGCTCTGACTGGTCCCTCCGTGTCCTTGTTTCCATACCAAGCTTTGCCTGACCTGGGCCGGACAGCCAGGGGCATTGCCGAGCAGAGGATCTGGCCATAGGCGCTGGCAGATGGGAACCACTTGTGCCTCAGGGCCAGGAAACTCATGGTGACATCCCACAACCTCCAGCAGAAGCTCTGCAAGAGCCAGGGAATTAGATGGAGAATATGGTCCTCTCTCAGAGCGAGGTCTGAGTTCAGCAGTCTGGAGCCATGTGGAAAAAAAATCTTGCCCATGGCTATTTAAGCCTCTGGCAATAGGCTGGTGGCCAGTTCCTGCCTCCCCGGGGGCTCTCTGGGGGTTTGCCGCTTCCCCCTGCTTTTGGTTGCACTCTCCTCTCCCCCATTGCAGCTCTGCAGTGTGTATCCATGGCTCTGAGATCACACGCGAGGATGGGCTAAAGTAGCGGAAAGCTGTTGGATCCTACCACAGAGTTACTGACTTCTTAGCTACAGACTGCATAGCAATCAGAGAGGGGGAGAGAGAGCCAGAGGAAGAGAGCAGGAGGAAAAGGAGAGCAAGAGTGGAGGGCAGAACAGTAGGGATGGCACAGAAATTTTTGAAATAGAGAAGGGGGATACAGCAGGCAAGGATAAATAAAGAAAGGGAAGGAGAGAGAGACAGGCAGAAGGGAGAGACCAGAACTCATCGCCAAGCTGCAGCCACAAATCAGAGCTCCGTGGGATGGAAACTCCTGAGAGCAAAAAATGCTGAAGAGAGGCAGAGGCAGAGGAAGAGGAAGAAGAAGAGCACTGGCATGAACAGGGGAGAGTTAGGAGAAGAGCAAGTCACGGGGAGGAAGTAGCTACTTGAAAGAAAAGAGGCAAGAGAGGGCTGAGGAGAGTCTTCCCAGATTCCTTCAGCCCAGGCGAGCTGAGGATTTTCATGGTGAGATGGAGAAATCACCCGCTTTTCCCTTCCTCTGATGTTGGCTCTCCACGGCTCAAGCAGGGAGCAGCTACCGGCAGGAGCTGGGTAAGAGATGATGCTGGTTAGCATTACTCCCGTTCGTGGCATGATAATGGGAAGGTTTTTCCTCTGAAAATAATGTACTGTTTCATCCGCGCTAGCTCTGAGGAGCAGCTATAAATATAACTTAGTGAGATATGCATGGCTTCATGTGAGTGTGCTAGTGAATAACAAAGTTGACTGTGTGCATTGCATATGTAAATACAGAAAGCGAAGCGTATGTGTGTGCAAACGGGCAGAAACTCACACCTGTTTGTAACCTCCCTAACTTTCCTCCTTCCACCTCCTCGCATGGACTTTGGTTACTTTGAAGGTAACTTTTGCATTTTTTTCATCTTCCCATATTTTCTTAGCTCCTTCTCTCGCAGGGCTGAGTCTTGTTTGCCTGTCATCTCTCCTAGCTGCCACCATCCACTCCTAACGTGTGATGGTCCAAGCTGTTTCCCTAAGACAGCCTGGAGAAGAGTAGACCTGGAGACCCTGTGTCCATCCTCAGTGATGTCAGGCATGATGGGGGTTGGCACAGATGCATGGGCTCTCCCTTTGTCCGGGAAGCTGTTTGGGCTCCCAAACCCATCCCTGGCTCCTTTGCATTCATGCTCTTCTTGTCTCTGCTTGGCTGAGCTTGCTAGTGGTGGTCTGTCATTCCCCAGCTCTTCCAAATACTGCTTTTTGGACATTGTAAGCAAAATGAGGGAGAAACAGCGCCCTTGCTCCTCACTGGCATCCTTGTTGGAACGGGGCTCTTCAGGCAGGTTTGCATGGCCAGGCAGGTCACCCCGGCGGTCCCTAGCACTGGCATCAGCCCTGATGCCCTCTCCCCTAGGCAAAGAGCACGGAATAACAGAAGCCCCTCAGCCAAAGGCCTGGAGCCTTCCATCCCCGGCACCCACCCTGACTTTATCCAGGCAAAGCAAATGGAGGCTCCAGGGCCTCTTCCTTCTCCTTGTGCCCCTCCAGGAAGGGGCACTGTTCCCAGGAGGAAGGAAGCAGGACAGGGGTATGTCGGGGGCTGTGAGGTTACCGGTGTAGGGACACCCAGTGCTGCCTGCTACCCAAGGGCAGCGATGGGGCCAGGAATACACTGCAAGTTGCCTGGATGTGCTCCGAGCTGCCTGCAAAGGGCAACTGTTGGCAGTGTGTGCGGGGGTGGACAGGGCATGAGGAGAGCCCTCCAAGCCTAGGGCGGGTGTGCAGCTCCCAGCCTCCCTCTGTTTGCAATGGCATCTTCAGGAGGTGCTGGGCCTGTGTGGACAGGCATGATGATGATCTGGAGCCAAGGAGGCGGTATGGGGGTGCGAGGGGCAGAGTGTCTCGCCAAAGACATTGGGATCTGCCCCATCCTCATCAGCTAGCACAAATGGTGCCCACAGAAGCCTGAGTCACCTGAGCATGTGGCCCACTCTGCTTTGCTTTTGCTAACAATAATAATAAATATAGGAGGAATATTTACTTTATAAGGGAAACATGAGTCCCATAGGGGCAGTGAATGATGAGGAAGGCAAGAGACAGAGGGGACAACATTGCTGTGGAGGGTTGCTGTGGAGAGAACATGCAGAGCTCTCCTTCCTTCTCCTCAGATGCCCAAATCTGCTGCATTGGTTGAGGGCCTGGCAGAGCCCCTGCCCTCATGGCCTCCCCGTGTGGCTGGTGAGGAAAGCTGAGGAGCCCCCAGCAGTCCTGCACAGTGAGGTGGTGGTTAGGGGAATTAGGAGGTTGTTTGGTGGGACTTGTGCCTGCTGGCGTCTCTGGTCATTATCCCACTCCGAGCTCCACCGTGGACATCCTTCTGGGGTGAAGCACCTTGGCTGTGCCCACCCTAGGACGCCCCACTTCATGCCAGCCTGCTCTTGTTGACACCCTCCTTGCAGCCCCGCTTCACTCAGCTCGGCGCCATGAGGCCGTCTTGGGTGACCCACAATAAGTCCTTCCCCGTCAGCTCCTCCCGGAGGATTTCCCCGGGGCTGCCTGCCCCGCTGCGCTGCACTGCGCTGAGCTGCCGCCTCAACTTGTCCACGGGCCTCCACCCACAGGGCATGGGATGGCATCGCCCTTGGGAGAGTGCCGGTGACGGGACAGAGGACACAGTAATGGACACCTGGTTGGGTGTCCGCCGCTCGCTGACATCAATGCCGATGCACAGCGGGGCGGTTAATAGCAATCTGCCTTCAGCAAGTTCCAACTTTCCTGTGTTGTTCCGTTAGGCCACTGGGTAGTTCAATCCAGCAGAGCGGCCAGGGATCAATAGATGGATGCTTGTGTCTTAGTGATCGATCCTTATTCATAAATGCGCAGCTTCCCAGCCTCCTACTAACATTCCTTTTTTTTTTTTTTTTTTTTTCTGTGAATGGTAAAAATTGACTGAAGCTGCCTTAGTGTTCCTTGCCGCACTGCAAAATCCCTTATGTCTAAATTAACGTTCTCCAAAAATGTTGCTTGTGCACACTTTAAAGAGCTGGAGGGGCCTCAAGCAGTGCACAGAGGCCCAGGCACTGATTTCCCTGCTCAAATCACGGGAGCTTTACCAGGAATGGTCAGGCGGGAAGTCTCTTTTGAAGAGAGATGGTGATTCCTCTGTCAGGCTGTGGCTCTGCATGGGCAGGAGCTGCTTTTGAAACCACCAAGCTGCCGTGCAGCTCATACCCAGGGTCAGCAGCGGGGCTCACGCCAGGGATGCAGCTCAACACAGCGCTCTGAGCATGATGGTTTCTCAGGGCCTTTCAGTCTGTGTGGGAAATGCCATCAGTAAAGGTCTCAAGCTGGCTGCAGTAAGATGAAATTTTACTCCATGAATCCTAGGCTTGCTTGGATCTCTCCCCGGGATGGGATGGGGCAGGATAATTTAGTTTTCATGACAAATGTTGAGGTTCCAAGTTCTGTTTCGTCCATGCAGAGAGGCAGCAAGACCTTAGGAATGTCTGTACAAATGAAACCATGCTGAAATGACTGGTTTCAGCTGGAATCACTCAGGTTTTTCATTTGGTTCTCTCCCTTGGACATCTCAGACACGTCCAACAGACAAGACAGCCTTGTGGCCTGTCAAGTGAGTGGGAAAGGTTTCAGGTGGAAGAGGTAATGTGGCAAGGAAAGGCTGTGGTGTGAGGCTGCAGCAAGAGACTCACGACTCATCTGTGCCCAGAATGGTGGACCACAGAGCTGGAGAGCAGCCAGGGCATCGCTCTGCAGAAATGCACCAAGTTTGGTCCTGCATAAAGAGAGAGGAGCCAGCTTTGTAAACATCAGCAAGTGACCAGAGATAGGTGTACCTCAGGGGATGTCCTCTTGGGAACTTGGTCATAGTCAGTTTGTCTCTAGGAATGGCTTTGGCATGGACCTATCCAGGAATTTGAGGGAGAAGCTGCCACCCAGGATGGGAACCTCCTTGGGCTGGCACCAGGCTAGTTTGTCACCATGGCCTTAGCCTTAAAGATCCCAAGCCAAAATGTCCAAACAGTCTTATGCCATAATCGCTGTCTGCGAGAGAAGGGAGAGCAGGGCAAAGGGGCAAGTTATCCTATGGATTTCCAGTTGCTCACACCTCTGACCTGGGAAATCCTGCTGCCTGAGGAGAAGCCAGCCCCCTCTGCCGTCACGAAGGGCCTGCCCCTCGCAGTCTGGACTCCTGTTTTATTTCTATGGCAACATTTCTACTGAAACATCTCAGAGAGAGCCTGGCGCAGCATGAAAACAAAGGAGGCAGCGTCCCCCCGACTCTGTCCCCTGCAAAAGGAGCAGAGTGAAGACCCTGCCACCCCTCCTCACTCCCTCCCTGGTGAGCAGTGGGAGCGCGATTGGCAGCCAACCCATCCACTTAATGGAGCCAGTATGTCCCCGACCCCTGGGAAGGCTGTGGGGGGCCCAGAGAAGAGCGTGGTCAGCCAGGTGTCTGGGGGCGCTTCCTCTGCTCCGTCACCCATGCAACGCGAGCATGGTCTTCCCCTCTGCCTCTGCTACCTTTTTTTTTTGCTCCTTTCCCTGACTTGTCTTGGTTTTGCCCTTTCTCTCTTCTGCTGCCCTCCTGCTCTGGACAGTGACTGCTTCTACATGGACAGAGAGGGGCAGCAATGGGGACACTCAAGATTTGTCTGGTTCTGGCCTCTTCTATAACAACACAAGTGCCCGTTTTTGACATGAGAACTGGTGAATAGGGGTTGTTGAAGATTGGTTATGTCACAGGTGTGAGGCTCACCATCAAGGATAAGTTCTCTGTATCTTTCCCTGTTCCCACAACAAGAGTCCTTACTTCTTCCTTTCCCCATCCCACCCCATTTCTCAAATTTGCCACATAGCCGCAGTATGGGTATGGGGACTGGAAAGTAGACAGAAGCATTTGGGACAAGCAAGCGCTCCGACCCCTAGAGAATCTCGGCAGTGCTACAAAGAGGCCATGCCTCCAACAGGACTAGACTTGGTGGTCCCAGAACTCCTCTCCTGACTGTCCCTGTTGTTCCAGGACCAAAAAGCAGCCTCATATGCTGGTTGAGGTGACCAAGCACACAACTCTCTGCCCGATGCTGCCAAAGTTGAGGATAGCACGGAGCAACAGTGATTCGTTCAGCAAAAGCAGGGAGTAGGCAGCAAGCCTGTGAAAAACAGGAAGGCCATCCGGAGTAGCGGCACAATCATAATAACCCGCAACAACGGGGAGAAACCACAGGTGTGGAAGCAGGCTGTGTCTAAACACTGCTGCCGTCTCGCACAGCCCTTCCCCTGCCGCGTCAACGCCGGAGCTCGCCGAGGGAAACAGCAGCCGCGGTGCTGCTGCCTCTCCGGCCACGTCCTGCCCCGGGCACGGCCGCCTCTGCGGTGCCACCTCACGGAGCAGAGCGGGAAGGGGGTGGATGTGCTAAGGGGCAGCTGAGGCTTAGCCTGGGGTGCACCAGCGCTGCCCTCAAAAGGCTTTGGATCATGCAGGGGTGTTCAACGGGGCTGAGTAAGCTTCGTCCGTGAGGCATTCACTTGTTTCAACAACCCCTTTCCAATGGGGCGCAGTTGTGCGGCTCGCC